ACTACATATGTTATAGGTATTATAGGCGTAAAAACTTTTCCTTTTGTAAGGACCGTAACTGTAAGAACCATGGGCGGACTTGTATGGGTGCAACCGGTGGCACGTGCCATCGTATTATTTCGCCACCGAAGGGTAAATTTTTTTGGTTTTTTCAACGGTGCTATCGTATTATTTTGGAAGGTGCTACCGTATTATTTTGAAAGGTGCTACCGTATTCAAACATAGCAATTAAAATTTAAAACYCAAACAAAATAAAGCCCAATTGTCTAACTTAATAAAATGCAAAGTCCAATTAATTTATTAACATTAATAAAATGAAAGCCCAATTATATGATTAAGCCCAAATCAAATATACAAAGTATTACCTCCTCCAGACTAGTCCTCCTCCTGGGCTTTCCTAATTTCTTGTGCAGCCGTGCAGGTGACCAGACTCCAGACGAGACGAGATCACGAGAGTGAAGCTACTTGAAGCGGTGAGTGTGAGACGGCCCAACCCAACGAGCGTGAACGACAAGCGACTAAGCGAGTGAGTKAGCGACAAGCGACCGACAAGAAGAATCGATTCGATTTTGGAACGATTTTGAAGACTCGGACGATTCACGATTCAGAAATCARAATCGAAACTCACTCAAACTCGAAGAACGATTCTCGATTATTCAATATTCAGATTTCAGAAATCAGAACCGATTCGATTAGGTATTTAGGTTTAGCCTTTAGGTATACATTTTTAGTTTTAGGTATACATTTTACTCTTGAATTTTTGATGAAATTGATTGAGGCATTGAGGCTTGAGCATTTGATTTGAGCTACTGTCTAGACTCACTAGTTACTGCCTCTATTATTGACTATTGAGTATTGATTTGCAAAATACAAATTGTGAACAGTGATTTGAATTTTGACTTTTTGAGGCTTTGAGCTACTGTGAACTGTCTGTTTAGTTAGTAGTTACTGCCTCTATTAGTTTTCATATGTTGATTAAATTTACTCATTGTCTCAATGCCATTACTGATTACTTATCATTGTTTTCATTACTTAGATCTACGATTCTCATTCATTATGGAAAAATATTTGAAGCGAAAAGCTTCATCATCAACCGGTAATAATGATGCATCCAATTCCAACAATGTGATTGATGTTAACGATCTTCCTTGGGATCCATCAGAAAGACCCAAAATTATAAGTTATAATCCAAATCAAAGAGACGAAATTAGACGGAAATACTTGGTAAGGGGTCCTTGTCAACCACGAGGTCACATCTTTCCAACCAAAGTTATAGGGACTAAAGGGAGACGGTTTGTTGTTACTTGGYTTGATCAATTTCAGTGGTTGGAATATAGTGTAAAAGTAGATAGAGCATATTGTTTGCCTTGTTACTTGTTCAGAGACCAAGGTGGGAATAATGGGATAGATGCATTTGTGGCGGACAGATTTAATAGTTGGAGTAAAAAAGATAGACTTACGCTTCATGAGGGTGAGGTTAATAGTTTTCACCATAAAGCACTTAAAAAATGTGAAGATTTGGTTAACCAAAACCAATCAATTGCGGTTGCCCTTCGTAAACAAACAGAACTCCAAAAGACCGAGTACCACATGCGATTGAATGCTTCCGTTGAAGTTTGTAGATATTTGTTGGAGAATGCCTTACCATTTCGTGGCAATGATGAGTCGGAAAAATCTATGTACAAAGGGCTTTTCTTGGGGACTTTAAAGTTAATCGGAAGAACAAATGGGGAGATTGAAAAGGTTATATTACAAAATGCCYCGAAGAACAATCAATTGACATCTCCAAAGATTCAAAAAGATCTCGTTACTTGCTTTGGAGAAGAGGTGTTGAAAGACGTTATTAGGGAAATTGGTGATGATGTATTTGCTTTGTTGGTGGATGAGTCTAGTGATGTCTCTARAAAAGAACAAATGGCCGTGGTTTTGAGGTTTGTTGACAAAGAAGGAGTTGTTCAAGAAAGATTTGTTGGCATTGTTCATGTCATGGATACATCTGCTGTAAGTCTTAAATCTGCGTTGGATGCTTTATTTGCAAAACATGGATTAAGTTTCACAAAGGTAAAAAGATTTCTTAATAATTTATTTGCTTTTAAGTCTTAATTATATCATTGAATATTTGGTTAAATAGCTTAATTTATCTTTAAAATAGGTAAGAGGACAAGGTTATGACGGTGCTAGCAACATGAGTGGTAAGTTCAATGGGTTGAAAGCTTTGATCTTGAGTGATAATGACTCGACATTTATATACATTGTTTTGCCCATCAACTTCAATTAGTAGTTGTAGCGGTTGCAAAAAAATATGAAGGTGTTAAAGACTTCTTTGATTTGCTTGCTTTGGTTGTTACTGTTGTAAACTCTTCTTGCAAACGAAAAGATATGCTACGAGAAAGTCACAAAGAGAGAATTCAAGAAGAAATTGGAAATGGGGAGATTGAGACTGGTAAGGGGTTAAACCAAGAGATTTCCCTTGTTCGAGCTGGAGATACACGATGGAATTCTCATCTTTAAACAATGAGTTTGATTGCTTTGTTTCCAGAGGTCATACAGATGCTTGAATATGTCGAAGATGATGGTGATAATGGAGCTAGTCGGCTTCAAGCAAGAGGTCTTTTATCATACTTAAAGACATTTGAATTTGTGTTTTATATGCA